AGGGGGATTAGTGAGGAGAAGCAGAATCCATCTTCGACCAACCACTCAGACAGCAGAGACACCCACGGAGACGCCTACAACTCTTTTGGACATCCATCCGCAGGAACAAGAGAACTATCCTTCCAGGAAAAGGGAGAAACGACCTCCTTCATATTTGAAGGATTATGTTAGGTGTTGGAGAGAGAGAAAAAAAAAAAAAAAAAAAGGGAAACATGTAACATAGGCTTCACAACTTGTGTATCAACCTTTACCCTGACATGTTGTCGCATGTCAATTGTCTTGTCTAATGACATGCGTCAACAACTGACAGGACGCCATATCATGTTCGGTATCAGGCAATTTCATGTATCGACTATTTTGCAGTGACTTGAAATAAAAGTTAATAAAGCAACATATTATAATAACTGATTATTTATTGAATAATAAACTTCATTACATACACAAGAGAAGTATGTAACACACCCTAATTCACTATAATTTATGTGATTATAGCTAAACATGTTTATAAGTTCCGATCAATACATTTCCTAGCTTATTTTGTCTTATTTATACGAAAAAAAAAACAGTTTTTTCCTTTGTCAATCCTACCCCGATACGACGTTTTTACGAACTTCGTCGGATTATATCTCAGAAACTTAACATACAAAACTTTTCAAACTCACATATTCTTTTAATGAGCCATCCCACAGCAACATAGTCAAATTTCAGCCAATTCGACCGAGAGCCAATTTCCCGTGTTTTCGTGCGGGGTCCTTTGCTGCCATTATTCCAGACATACGTGATAACGAGTTGAAACCAGAAGCAAATAAAAGGAGATAATATCCCTTTTGCGAATATCCAAACGTACCGAGATAAAAAAACTGATCTAAGTTAGTGACAGAGCGTCAATATTTCCGAGAATATTTCGCCCCTGTTTTACACTGGTTCATCCGATATCATCTTTTGACGGGGGCGGAATATTCTCGAAAATATCAACACTCTGCCACTAAGGTGGTTAGTTTGAATCGCGGCACCTTTCGATTTATGCAAAGGGAAAATTATCCCCTTCTATTAGCTTTTTGTTTCAACCCATATCACATGACAGAAGTATATCACTAAAAATGGCAGCGAATAAATCGCTGTGCCGTGAATTTAACCAAATTAAGGGTTGGCTGAAAAGGTAACTGGACCTCAGGTTACTGAGGAGGGTTTGAAATCCGGAATGAGTTGATACGAATAAAGTCATATAGCCTGTTTGTGAGAGATATAATTCCCATATCACTGATACAAATAATTTTTTTGAGAGTTCCAAGCTCATCAAGACTAGAGTTTATACAAGTATACTTCTTCTAACATTTCGATTTTCATTTCAATACTGAAAATATTGATAAGTTATATTTTTATATCAAAATACATCATAATATTTATCAGATTTGAGAGATTGTCAATTCTCAATTTCAGAGGATTTTTATTTTTCATGCTCTCCTTTTGGATGTTCAACAGATATAATTCAATGTTCGACGTGGCAAATAGCCAGGAAAGTAGTTGTTTTCTGTTGAATATTCAGAATGATATGTGCATATACATATTTTTATCTGAAGGAGAATGCAAATTCTCAACTTCAGAAGATTTTGTTTTCAAATTCTCATCGTGTGTGTTCGATAGATATAATTCAATGTTCGTCGTGGCATATAGCCAGGAAAGTAGTTGTTTTCTGTTGAATAAACCAAGAAAGAATTGATATTTTCATCACATAGAGATTGCGAATTCTCAATGTATTTCTTCATATATACAGGGTGATTCATTTAGAATGGAAAATCTCTGAACTACAGATAGTAATCACAAAAATAATTAGATTTAGCCTAATATGCCTGATGAGAATGTTGTAGTTTTAGAAGATGCAGGGTGTTCTAGGGGGCGATTTTATTCCAAAATGTCACAATAACTTTGTTAGTTTCAACAGCATGAACATGAAATCTTGTATTTCTAGGTTTTCAAACATGAGGAAAATCAATTTGTAACGTATTTGGGATTGCTCATAGATGGCGCTAGTGGCACTCTGTCACTTCTATAATTTACATCATATCTTCTATGTCGATTCATTGATGATCAAAATAAGTAGAAAATCTGAAAGCTCGTTCAATTTCACATGAAAAATGTACTCCTCATCAAACTGTCTAGCTTCAACGGTTTTTGTGTTACTTGCTATTGAAGAGATTCATTTTCCATTTCTCCTTAACCACCCTGTATCTCTTAAACCAGCAATATTTTCATGAGGCATGTTGCTTAATGCATTGATATATAAAATTGTAAATATCTTGAAAACGATCACCTCCAGCGTTGTTGAGGGAGTGTACCTTTTTTACTTGAAAGAGGTTTAGAGATAAAGTATTTTCATAGAAAGTGCCAAAAGTTTATTGTCAAAAAAGTTAGGGCAATTTTAAATAATAATAATAATAACCGAACTTTAAAACTCAACAAGTGGATTCGAATACTTGTAATGCGAGCACCTCATGAGTTTTATACTGGTTCATCGGATGGTATCTTTCGACGGGAAAGAAATATTCTCGCAAATTGTCACTAATATAGGTTAGGTTGAATCGCGGCACGTTTCGATTTTCGCAAAGGGAAAATTATCGCCTTTTATTTGCCTTTTGTTTCAACTCATTATCACATGACGGAAGTATGTCACTAAAGATGGCAATCATTTTGCTCAGGATAGTGATTCACACAGGTGCCGTTCGATGAACTACAATGTTTTTACATGCCTTTTTAACTCGTCATTTCGTTATCAGAATAATGACGGTCGCAATTTGCAGGCAGCTCTCCTACTACGACTAAGTTACATAGTTACATGCATTGATATAGAAAATTGTAAATATCTTGAAAACGATCACCTCCAGAGTTGTTGAGGGAGTGTACCTCTTTTACTTGGAATAGGTTACAAGATAAAGGATTCTCATGAAAAGTGCCCGAAAAAGTTATGGCAATTTTAAATAAATAACGGAAGCCTTCTTGAAGCTACATGAAAATTATGTAATAGTATATTTCGTAATATGTGTTTTAAAAAGCATATTATGCACGAATGGAAAAGTTACGTAGCACGTAGCCGCAGAGCGGTGAGTGCGTAATTGCTTTACAACACGCATTATGTACTATACTTCATCTACAGCCATATAAACTATTTGCCAGATGAAGTGGGACAGCCAAAAAATTGTCTAAGTTTGATAAGCTATAACTCGAACATTTCTTGGCCGATGTTGTATTTTCTAACAAAGGTAGAAAGCGTCATCCTTGGGCTATGCGTCATTGGCGTCGGGTTTTTATTTTTGCGATTCGTTCTCGTTGTACAGAGTGTGAATTAAGAGCCGGAAAAATTTCAAATTTTTGACCAATAATTTGGGAAATGTGAGGGACCCTAGAATTCTTTTTTAGATGTTGGGTGAATGGTTGGTCCGATACCTCGAGACGTCTTTGAAAATTCTTTGATAAATTGCGTTGCTATGGAATAATCACCATTTTATGAAATTTCCTTTCCATTTCAAAATGTAGCCTCGTTTAGTTAAACAATAACAGCCAACATCTAAACTGCAGCAAGGGATATTTCTACTGAAGATAATTAAAACCAGAGGCGCGCAGAAAGGGGTTTATGATATTTAGAAACGAAAAATTCGTTTTTATTGAAAACATTCAACAGTTTTATTGATCGTTACAGTTGAGGAGGTGTCATATCCTCAATTGAAATTCAGAAGCGTGCGTGACAAATCAAAATTTCAGTCTCATTATCATTGTTTTTTACTTATTCAAGGTGAGCATCCAAGTAATCTAGTGGCGTATTCAAGAGGATCCATCATTCAAGGCGATTCAAAAAGATTGATATGATAACATTTTTAATTATCTCATCAAGTGTTGTTCTGTGTTCGCTAGTGAAAATTTTCTTGTATCATTATTTTTAAATGAAAATTAAGAAACGTAATTATAGCTTCTGATGTTTCTCGAGCCGTACAATTTGATAATTTCAAAAAATCTTGTTGATTTTTTTCAATAAAAACTTTTTTTTCGTTTTTAAATATCATTAACCCTTTTTTTGCGCCCCTCTGAATTTGTCAACATAATGCTAATTAAGGATATGCCACCTCTTCAACTGTAACGATCAATAAAACTGTTTTTTCAATAAAAACGAATTTTTTGTTCCTAAACTATCATGAACCCCTTTTTGCGTTCCACTGGTGCTAATTATCTTCAGTAGAAATATCTCTTGTTGCAGTTTCGATGTTGGCTGTTATTGTTTAACCAAAAGAGGCCACATTTCATAATGAAAATGAAATGTCATAAAATGGCGATTTTTCCATAGCAACGCAATTTACCAAAAAAATTTCAAAGATGTCTCGAGGCATCGGACCAACCATTCACCCAACATCTAAAAAAGAATTCTAGGGTCCCTCACATTTCCCAAATTATTGGTCAAAAATTTGAAATTTTTCCGGCTCTTAATTCACACTCTGTACAACGAGAACGAATCGCGAAAATAAAAACCCGACGCCAATGACGCATAGCCCAAGGATGACGCTTTCTACCTTTGTTAGAAAATACAACATCGGTCAAGAAATGTTCGAGTTATAGCTTATCAAAATTAGTCAATTTTTTGGCTGTCCCACTTCATCTGGTAAGTAGTTTAGTACACCAAAAAAGTTTGAACAAACAGTCTGAATTATAATTCTTGACAGTTATGTCATCCGCTGTTGACGGTGATAAAGCGAAAATGACATACCTATACTGACGGAATAAACGAAAACTGTGCGATTTTCTTACTGTGCGTGAAGAGCTACTTGCTGAGACTGTATCTCGTGTGTTCTTGCCTACTTCCTATAGTAACCGTAGGTAAATGAACATTTCATCATCAGTAGTTATGAAACAACTGGTCAGTTTTGAAAAGTGTCATATTTACATGTAAAAATTTACAACATTTCGTTTTTCTGATAAAAGTAAAATTTTTCGCGATTCGAGAGATCCATTCTCACCTTATTCATGATTTGTACAGTCGAAGGATGCGTCCAATAGCAGTCGTGTACCGAGACAAATGTTATTCCCGCTCGTTCGCAGTGAAGGGAAGTCAGCATCATGTGATTGGAGTCCAGAGAATGTATGAAGTTCGGTGGGAATGCGTTCTTCTGCTTCATGACATTCGGTTTCCTGTAATAAAAATACAGTTGTTTTTGTAGATGTCCAAAACTTATCCCAAACTCGTTCGCCATATTGGATCCACCATCTTGAATTCCTCAATTTTGACGAAAGAATCATAATATCCGACCACGAAAACATCATAATTACAAAACTGATCAGCCATATTCGAACCGCCATCTGGAATTTTCTAACTTTGACAAAATAATCATAATTGCCGAGCCGGTGAATCCCCAGATATCAAATTTGAATAGAATCAGACCGTTAGTACAAACCTCGGTCATCTTTAATTTCATAATTTTGCCGAGAGAATCATAATCTCCGATCCCGAAGACCCCTGGATACAAATTTTGGATAGAATCCGTCCATAATTACAAAACTCGGCCGCCATATTGGAGCTGTCATTTTGAATTCCTCAATTCTGACGAACGAATCATAATTTACGACCCCAAAACTAATCAGATACGGATTTTGAATAGAATCAAATCAGAATTACAAAACTCGATAGCCATATTGGATTCGCCATTTTGGATTTCCCAATGTCGACGAAAGTATCATATTCTCTGACCCCGAAAACTCCCAGATATAAATTTTGAATGAAATTGGATCATAATTACAAATCTCATCCGCCATTTTGGAGCCGCTTTCTTGAATTTTCCAATTTTGACAGAAGAATCATATTTGATTGAGTACAGTCAGATGCAATGAATATGTCGCAGAAGAGCGGTAATAGCACCTGTAGACATTTTCTTTGCATTTTGCTGTACATTCTGAAAAAGAACCGATTTCTGGTTTGCCTGAAAAACTATTTTTGTGTCACTTATCATTTCAGTCACATCACATTTTGATCAAAAATTCATTTTTTAAATAGAACTCTATGGGCCACCTACATGTCTTTCTAGACCATACATTCAGGAAAAAAATTACATTTCATTTTTGTATTTCAGTGCAGTAACGAATTGTATACATTCAAAACTGAACAACTAGTTTCATGTATTTCCTTGTAGTTCCAATAATTTTTCAAGTAAGCATTTCTGAATGTTGTCATGAGATTGCACTTGTTTTGACCTGGTGAATTTGAATATGTCAAAATATACAGGTTGTTCCATTCGAAAAAACGAAGTTGCTGGCATCTCCAGAAAAACCGGAACTCCGCCATATTGGATTGTGTGTGCCTGAGTCCCTGTCTCACCCGGTATACCTATGTTTGAAAAGTGTTACATTTCAGTAGAGGTAATCATCATGTTTTTTGTTCAGCTGGTTAACAAACTGACAAGCGTGTCCACACTCTTTAAAGGGCATCTAAATGAGATCTTCGAGGCACTCAATTCGTAGCTTTTGATACGTTTTGTTGATAGTTTCAAATCCAGAAAATCTGAAAAAAAAAACAAGACTTACTCGTACTTATCCATGGCGAAGGACTCGTACGTGGGCCCAATCGACTGCTTCTTGTACTTGAAGTACGGCTGGACGACGGGCAGCCCTAAGGGCGTCACCCACTCCACGTGGCGGCAGCCGACGGCCGAAATGAGGCGCGCACACTCCGTGAACCAGTCCTGGATTTCGCGCGTCGACGTGAACATCGTGCGCAGCGAGTCGAACGTTCTGCCTACGCAACACAATAATAGCACATTGTTTTATAAGGATCAAATGTGAAACTTTGTTTGACGAGCAATATTTGCGTTTGCGACTGCGAAGCCGAGCAAGCGGCTCTGTAACAAAACAGCGCCAGACAAAACAGCGTGCGACAAAACAGCGCCGCGACAAAACAGCACCACGACAAAACAGCGAGCGATAAAACAGCGCGCGATAAAATAGCGCGCGACAATACAGCGCTCTGACAAATTTTCATTATTTATAAGAGCGCCTTGCAATAATTTTTGATGGAATATCATCATATCGACGATATTTCGAATTGAAAGACGATGCGTTACTTAGGTACTTAAGAGGCAGGAAATACTAATTCCACATCTATTTTCAAAGGCAAGCGTGCCTGAGTGCCACTGGTGCAATGAAAACCACTCCAACAGCCGCTTTAGAGGTCCTCTTGAACCTACCACCACTACAAATATATATTCAAGGCGAAGCCAGAGCAGTCGTGAGTAGATTGTCAAGGGGTCAAGCACCCATAAGCAACGCGCACGGTAAAGACTATAGGAAGCTATATGAAGAGTTGGAAAGCGACCCCATCATGGGGATGCCAACGGATGGCATAATTCCAAAATATAGCTTTGAAAAAACTTTTAAAATAAGTATAACGGACAGAGAGGCATGGAAGGAAGGACCTCCTATCAATGCAGACATTGCTGTCTATACGGGCGGCTCCAAAACTGAGGAAGGATCAGGAGCTGGTATTTATGGGGCCAAGCCAAAGACAAGAATCTCACTGAGCTTAGGCAAATACGCGACGGTGTTTCAGGCAGAAATTATTGCAATACATCATTGCGTGAAAGAATTGATAAGGCAAGAGTTCAAAGGCAAAACCATTGCAATCTATTCAGATAGCCAGGCGGCAATCAAAGCAGTCAACTCTATGCAAGTTAACTCAAAACTAGTATGGGACTGCTCAGAAACCCTAAATGCACTGGGCAGTCAGAACAGATTGACTCTAGCATGGGTACCAGCACATACAGGGTACGAGGGCAATGAAGAGGCACTCACTTGCCCGAGCAGGAGCAAACAAAGCTCTTAATGGCCCAGAACCCTTCTGTGGTATTTGCGAAAGCTATACAAAAGACTAGTATCAAATCATGGATGCAAACTAAATCTCAAGAATGGTGGAACAACTCGCCAGGAATGAGACAGGCAAGAGAGTTTATTAAAAAATCATCGCCAACATCCACAGAATATCTACTAAGCCAGAAACGAAGTTCAACTAGAATACTAGTGGGACTTCTCACAGGTCATTGTAGGCTCAACAAACACATGAGTACGATAGGTCTGACTGAAGAACTGCTGTGCAGGTTCTGTCAAGAAGAGGAAGAAACAGCAGTACACATACTTTGTCACTGTGAGGGCTTGTCAAGACTAAGGTTCCTTACGCTGGGTGAGGAAAAACCAGGAGCCCAGAGATACACAGGAGATCTGAAAGCTAGCCTATGGAGTCTCATAGAGAAGGCGGGGCTAGCCGAAGAACTCTAATCCATTTTGAGGGCAGGCACAATAGATCTGAAAAGGTCGCAGTGTGGAGGCAGATAGCCCGAAGGCCCCATTCCAAATCTAATCTAATCTAGGTAACTTATTTACTGTCGAAAGTGATTAACTGAGACATTTTTTCGTTATGAACGTTACAAAATCGCGAAAAAATCGTGAAATCCTGATAGTGAATAGTTACAGATACAGAAAAGATAAAACACATCTGAATTATGTTTCGTGGCGTTGCTGTAAATCAGGGTGCAAAGGCCGATTGACTGTATCCAGCGACAATTCGCACAAGCCTACGACAACACACAATCATGGTCCCAATTTAGCTGAGAATGAAGCACATCTGGTGAAGAACAATATTAAAGAAGAAGCAATGAAGTCGGACGTCAATCCAAGAGCTATCTTTCACGCTTCTGTAAGTAGTGCATCGACAGAAGCTTGTATTTATCTTCCTAGCTACAATGCTGCAAGAAGAACCATACAGCGTCAAAGGAATAAGTCGCACTCAGGAACAGCTACGCCTAAATATGTTGCAGACATAGTTATAGAAGATAAGTACCAGACAACTGAGAGGAGAGATGTTCTTGCTCTGGGACTCTGGAAATGACGATAATAATAGGATAATTATGTTCAGAACTCGCAGCAATATAGATCTACTCAAAGAATTCCATCACTGGAGCGTAGATGGTACATTCAAAGTCGCACCACAATTCTTCACCCAGATGTATACAATCCATGTGCTCATAAATGGAAAGGCTGTTCCAGTAATTTATGCATAATTATGTAACAAGTGAGGTACGTAGTTTTTGAAAGGTATCAGATTAGTATAGATGTAGGTTTCAGTAGGTATTAGATTAGTATAGAGGTCAGATAATTCATACGACGCTATAAAAGCAGATGATATTTCATCATTGCTCATGTAAGATGGAAGTATATGCCATGGCACCTTATCATGAGCATATTTTTATATTGAAACTATCATTGGGCACCAAAGATGTGTATACGACGCTATGAAAGTTCAGAGAACTGGAAATTTTTCCCACAAACTACGTACTTAGCCCACTCGACTGTCTTGGGTTTTCCACACAAACTACGTACCTAGCCCACTCGATTGCCAATAAGGACTAAAACAACAAAAACAAAAGAAAGTTCAAACAATGCCAACATATTGCTTCTTTGTGGGAAATCAAGACAGTCGAGTGAGCTATGTACGTAGTTTGTGGGAAAAAATCAAGACAGTCGAGTGTGCTTTTTTTACTTTCTTTCGTCTTTTGTTCTGTTTTCTATTGGCAAGTGATTATCTAGGAACTTGTAAATTTTTTAGTTTTTTCATCGTATATCCCGAACTATTGAATTCAGAGAAAAATGTTATACGGATTTTTTGTAGATTCTATCAAAAGGAATAATTTTGGTACTATAATATTTTCAGATATTTTCAGTTGTTTTCGAGATATTTGGAATTATCTGAGAATAAAATTTTCAACACTTTTGTTCCATCTTCCAATCAATAAAAGGAAAAAATATTCCATGGTTCAGTGGAAGTCGTTGAGCTTCATCTATCGATAATCTTTGTTTTTCAATATATCTTCATGGTACCCTATGGGTCGTCCAAATTTTTTTTTTCATATTCGTCACTTTATTTCCTGTACTATTGGGTTTAGAGAAAAAATTATGGGTAATGATTTTTAGGAAATGTTTCGGTGAATAACTTTGCACTTTTGATAATTTTCGATTTTTCCATTTGTTTTCGATATACAGTATGATGCAAATGTATGGAATAAATTCATTATTTCAGAAATGGGCGACATTTGAAAAAATTCCAAAAACACGTGAGTTTTAATTTCTGAAGCCTCATCTCATGATATTCATATGAGTAGAGATGTTACGTCACCGGTGTTGGAGTAAAGACGTAATGGACGATTTTTTCAAATACAAATAGGGGTCATGTGACACCTTGATTGAAAGGTCTACCGATCGTCTATTGAACAGTCAAAATGTTGCATAAGAAGATTGAAATCAAAATGGATTATCATGTGATTACTTGAATCTTGCAGAGGTCTGCTACTGAGAATTGAACGTCGAAGGATCGTCTAGTTAAAAAAATACGTCGAAAAAAAAGTTTTAAACTCTAGTTTTTGGTTTCTTTTCGAAAGTCGTCTTGTTTTGAAATGAATTTATTCCATACATTTGCATCATACTGTATATTGAATTGAAAGGATTTCAAATTTTGATGTATTGATTTTCATTTGTTTTTCCATTTTCCGATGATGCACGAAAAAATGGTGATACAATAATTTGTTGCGTCATCAAAGAGGCATACCGTGCATTTCTCAAATTTGGATTTAGTCTATTGGTTCAGGAGATATGCCGTTTTAAAGCGAACCGTGTTTTTCGGAAAATCTCCTTGAAAAACGCACTTGGAATTTTCCGACCCTGCTCAATTTCGATAGGCTTCGTCTCTCCCTGATAGAGTTTTTTTTCACAAAAAATGAAATCCATCGGACCACTTTTGCGATTTGTAGAGTGGTCACAAGAAACTTCCGGTGAAAAATCGAAAAAACCCGGAAAAACCACCTTAGAGTTTTCCGATTTCCTTCATCTTTTAATGTACAATATGATGGCAAAATTTCAAGTCGATATGTCAAAGGGTTCCGGAGATATATCGATTTATGATTACCACAGAGTACAGACAGACAGACAGACCACACACAAAAACCAAAGTTGCTCAAAATTCGATGGGGATCATTTTCTCCAACGTAACTATACCTCTATCTCGCTTAGTTTCCGAGATAGCATTTTTGGCAAGGCCGTAGTATACTCCACTATGTATAGCGTCGTATAACAAGCAGCAAGGGACATACACCCGAGTGTTTGATAAGCTTAAACAGATTGAACCCCTTATGAGACCACTAAGTATTCTGTCAGACTTTGAAACAGCTTCCATGAATGCCATAGCCGAAGTGTTTCCAGATGCACGTATAGTAGGCTGTTTTTTCCACTTAGGGCAAAGTCTTTGGAGAAAAATACAAGAAAACAAACTCACGGAGGTGTACCGTACAAATGAAGTGACAAGGCTGAAACTGAAGATGTTACTTTCCTTGAGCTTTGTACCCGAGAATGACGTACAGTTTGCTTTTGAAATTATAACTGAGGAGTTTCCAAAAGAACTTCAGCCAGTGGTTGACTATTGGGAAAGCACTTATATTGGAAGAAGGCTTCACAACATTCCACCTCGGTTCTCAGTTGCATCGTGGAACATGTTCACTAGAGTTTCTCATGATTTAAGAAAGAATAATAATTCATTAGAGGCCTGGCATAATGCATTCCAGAAAACTCTGAACTGTCATCATCCTTCCATTTTTCGGTTGATGGATCGCCTCAAAAAGGAGCAGTCTTATGTGGAAACTCAAATGAGTAGGTACCGTGCGGGTTTCAGAAGCGGGGAGAGAGCGAACTGTAAATATGTACAGCAAAAGAAGAGGTAGCAGCAGCAGCAGTAGCGTTAAGTTTATCTATATAATATAAACATTGTTAGGCATGCTGATAAGTTCTCTATTTATGTTCTGTTCATTGATGACTTGTCTTCAGAGTTCACTCGATATGAATTAATGAATTATAAGAGTATTGAGTAGGTACCAAATTGTTTGATTGTCAGAGATGGAAAGGTGGAGAAGTTGATGCTGATTTATCCTAGCGCCTAGCCTATTTTGTCGCGCGCTATTTTGTTTCAGCGCCATTTTGGACACGCCATTTTGTCTGGCGCTGTTTTGTTACAGAGCCCGAGCAAGCTGAATATTTTGGGAGACAAACAGAGTCACGTTTGATCCGAATGAAACATGCTATTTCTCCTCCAATCGAAATAATTGATACCTGATTAATAAAAAATAAGTGAAAATACCACTATTTTGAGTGAATAGAGTATGTCAGTGTCAAAGCAGCTATCATATCAGCTGTCATCCGACATGTTTTAGTACCTGAGCACTAAAAGTGTTGCCTAACAACAAACATACTAATCATTTTATTGTGCCAGTGGGAGAAACGTCAACTTCAAGAGCTAATTTTGGAACAAAAAGGACGACTTTTGAGCCGATTGCAGAAAATTGTTATTTTTCGTCGACCTCCACGAGAATATACATTTAATGTGCTAATTTCCGAATGAAAAATCGACTAAACTGGGCGTCAATTGAAACGTTAATAGTGAAATTTTGCATCAAGTTTGACTTCTCGTAATTTCTAAAATATTGAACGAATTTCGTATTGCCGCCCAGATTCTGAATGCCTTTTTCAACGTCTTTGGAACCGTTCCTTACAGCTTCTTCTGAATTCAGGACCCGTGATACAGGGTGAAACAAAGTTTCGTGCATTTTGAAAAAAATTTCTCCGCCCCCCATTTTGTCGGGAGACCACGATGCTCATATTTCATTCAGGCATTTCATAAATAGCAACCATACCTCGGGAGGTTTTCGAGTTCCTGCCAAAAACTGTGGTTTCCAGAAAACAATTTTTTTTGTATTTTTTCAAATGGACTAATTTTAGAGGAGTTCCATAAATGGAGCAGATATGCATACCAGGTTACTCAAAAACAATCAATAATTTATTACTTCGCAGTCTATGATAAAAGTTTTCTACCTTAGTGAGCAGTAAATCAACACATCTCATCAACAAAAACAAACAACGATACCTTGTTTCTATAACAACGTATTGTTGAAACAGGGTAGGTATGCATTGAGGTTATATAAATTGCCAATTTTCATGAAAACGACAGTGTAATTCGGGTCCTAAAAAAATTTAAAGATGCCTCATTCAAATCGGGTCGAAATAGAAAATATCATTAGGTAAGATCACTATAGTGATATAAACTATAATTCAGTAAACTATAATTCAGTACAGATAATAATTATTCAACAGGAAGATCAAATTACCAAGGTGGAAATCCATGGAGGTTAGAAAAGGCGAATGAGGAGAAGAAATAGTAGATATTATGTGCACATGACGTGTGCAGCAGGGGTCGGCAAAAAAGGCTCACTAGGGAATCTATTATTAGTGCCAAAACTGCGACCCAAACTAAATTTATTCATGAACCTGTATGCAAATCAAATGAACAAATAAATTCTAAAATTAGTTAATTTTCAAACACAATCTGGTGTGGAAATTCTCTTACAGAATACCAAACGAGGTCAAATTACTTTCCGGAAATTTTCCGGAAATAATTTGGCCTCTAGTGGTATTAGAAGTGAAAATACATTGGACCACTTTTAGTATGGATGATTTCTACGATAGATAATAAAATGACAAAAAATCGAAGTCTCACCAGTTAAATAGGACGATGCCGCCCAAACGGACTCCTTGGGAAAGCTGTCGATGTCCTTCAACTGGCGAACGATTTGCAGCCTAGCCCCGAACCTCGTTACTCCGTAAACGGTCGTCATCACCGTTTGCTTTATCACTTTTCGCACGACAAATCCTTCGAGGATCTTCGCTATCTGCAACAAAAACCACAAGCTGAGGTCGAGCCACTGACATAATAGTACAGGAGGCGAAGAGGCTAAATAGGGATCAACTCGAGCGTCGTGGGGACCTATTAGATTATGAAGATACTGTCACGAGCGGGTTCTAACCCCCACAATCGTAACTCGAACTTACTCGCTTGCAAGAGGTTTTATGAAAATTATAATCAAAGAATTCAACTCCACTTTACATATTCATTCATCTTCATTAAAAAACAATTCGGGCATGAGATGAGTTGACCAATTTCCCAGCGAGATACATCCGACTCAAATAAAAACAAAACAAGAAAACTAAAACAGTAATATTAAAAAAACGTACTTACAGAAAGGCTCGCTTTTCGTTGGAGGATTGGAACTGCCACTCACGAAGTTTAGACATGATGCAAAGATGTTCAAGATTTACTTTTTTTCTAGCGAATTTGAAAATACTATACTTTACGGTCCACTGTCCGAACCACAACTGCCGGTTTTTTCTCTAATATTTTTCCATGTCGGTTTTGGTAGTGGTAATTGATTCAGCATAAAAACTAGTGTATTCACCTCGATTAGGAAAAATCCTGAACCAGCAGCCCGTCAGCGACTTTACTTGAATAATAATAGAATACTCTCAGCAAGCCTTTCCATTTGCTACCCATATTGTAGAAGTGCATTGAAAATAACTATTCCGCCTATTGGATTTGAAATGACGTCATATTATTTCTCGAGTTACTCTCAACAAGTCCTTTTTTTTTATACCCGTATTGTGGAAGTGCACTAGAAATAACTATTTCGCCATTTTGGATGGTCCGCCATATTGGATTCAGAATGACGTCACATTATTTTTCGAGTTACTCTCAACGAGCCTTTTCAATTGTAGAAGTGCATCGAAAATAACTATTTCGTCATCTTGGATGGTCCGTCATATTGAATTCATAATGTCACATTTTTTGTCCAGTGACTCCCAATGATTCCTTTCATTTGATATCCATATTGTAGAAGTGCATTAAACATAACTATTCCGCTATCTTGGATGGTCCACCATATTGGATTTAGAATAACTTCACAAACTTGAAGTGTATTCAAAATTTCAGCTCAATCGGTTGAAGATATCTACTTCAAAATTGAGTTCATAGATTCCACCCGAACTAAGATACATACATCCATACATTGCGAGTTAAATAAAAGCTTTTTAAAAGAACAAAAATATATGATGAATGCCCTTTCACTGGTGGGGCAAGCGTGTACAGGTACTCGAGCGCTTCAGAGATATTGATCTTGAGTTCGACCCACGTGTTTCTGAGAAATATTATTCTGCCGTTCATATTACTTGATTATTTAGGATTTTCTCTCCTCGTTTCTATAAAATAAAAATATGAGTATTATTTCAGTAAATTTGTAGTACGCCAAATCAGATGATTTGCCACAAAATGTTTGAAAAGAAGAATTATAGATATACTGAAAAAATATCAAATTTTTACTTATCTTTGGACGTTTCGGGAACGAATCTGCTCCCGTTCTCAGCATAAAATCGCAAAATATTTTTCTTCAAAAATTGTGTTCTTATCGAAAAAAAAATATTTTGCATTTCCGCTACTACAAGAAAGTACCAGCAACTTGGAATTTTCAGATGAAGCACCCAGTATTCCATTGATTTTCTAGATTCTCCATGAAGAGCTGATTTCATCAATGCATCGTACTTGGGGTCTAGCGAGAATGATTAAAAAGGTATAGGGTGTTCAAAATAGAGATTTTTCAACTTTTTTGTGTCGAAACTATTCTTTATCGGTCAAAACGGCTTATATGTCTCTATCTCAACTTTTGATTTACTATCTACTGACATTTTATTAGAAAGAACAGATACAGGGTGATCAGAATTCAGAATCTTGAACCACCCTGTATTTGTTCCAATTAAATGTAATTGAATATTTATTCGGAAGTAAATATAGGGAAATGTGAATAGTTTCTACACAGAACATCCTGAAGTTGAAAAATCTCGAATTTGAACACCCTATATCTCTGTGATCATTCCCATTAGACCCCAAGTGTGATGCATTGATGAAATCAGCTCTTCAGGAAGAATATAAAAGTGCAATGAAATAATGGATGTTTCATTTGAAATATCAAAGTTACTGATACTTCCTAGTAGAAGAGGCAACGCCGCATCTTTCAAAATATTACAGACGTGTAGATCATGTCAATTTATACACACCTTCAAATGCTTGGTTTGCCAGAAACTTCAAATTAATGCTCATCGTGTAAAAACCCCTGAATAGCTAGAAAAACATGGGAGAGTCTGTGTCACCCATTATACATAACGAAAGTACACGTGAACGACCCTGTATTTCATTCTACTGGTCATATTGAAGTTCTTTTCACTTCCTCCCTATATATCAGGGATATCATTGGTCATAAATGAATAATTTCTTGTTCGAGTTTTAATCGGTTAAGAAGGTGACGTAACTCAAAATTAGTCACTAAGGTGATGAATCAAAAGCCAGGCATCAGTCTTGCATTGTATTTCATTGCCTACGGTCGATTCACGTGAAGAAAGAAAGAGAGAAATAATCAAAGTGACGAAATGAAATTCCTCGTTCAGTTTACTGATAATGGTGGTGCATTTGTAAGGGTGTGTGTATGTGTGTGTGATGTAAAGTTTGAATGTTTTGCTGTGGGAAATTCCAACACTGGAAAGTGGGCTCATTGAAATCTGTTCTGTTTCGGGATAGTAAGTGTTTTTTATTGTTTACGGCAGTACCTCGATGCCCTAGAAAAGGTTCGGATTCCACTATAAGCTGTAGGTCCCGCTCTTCCTAACCCCGCACAAGTTTCGACTTCTGGGGAGTTGGTTCCCCACTTTGAAGTAGCTATATACGAAAAATTATGCATATGGAGGTGTTTATTACTTGATGGCCATTTTGCTTCAGTTTAATCACATGAAGATGTATTAATTTGCTTTTTAAAATTTCGTTTATCATTATTCATGGAAATATTTTTAAAATCGAAGTTTAATTGTTCGTTTCTCAAGGAAATATTGTTGGTCTTTATTTAAAAAATTTGATGTTGGTTCCTGAAAGACGGATTTTAAATTTAAAGACGCCATCTTGTAGGGCGGTTAGAGTTTCATTCATGGAGATGAACTTCTTCAAACAAATTAGAAGTACAAAAGGCCGTATTCTTTATGTCGTACCACTACTGGCATCTCGAAAACGGTAAGTTATACTTAGTTGGTTAAATTAGATGAAAGTTGCTTATTTTAGTGAACAATGATTTCGAACACTCTAGTTTGGCTGTCATGCTCGAAAAATCGCGCGTGTTTCAAAGACCAGTTATCCACGAATACTTTACGGTATTTTTTCATTGGAACACGTTGAGATCATGAATACTAGAATTACAATTACAAAGAATGGAACTAATAACGTAAAATGGTTGGATTCGTGATGTGACATCGCGTTGTCATGGAAATGAGAAGAAAATAATCAAATTGAAACATTTTTGTTAGTCATACTTTATTCGACGATATTGTCATGTAGTAAATCCTAATAAAATTTTCATCTATCTGAATTCGAACATAATTATTCCTTATAAAAAAAACATTAATTTCCAATCCAATGTATTGCATGACACTCATACCTAGACAGGAACTAAAGTTTCCAATTACAACTAATATTTACATAACCTGTATGAACTCAGATTGAACGGAAAATACAATGATTCTCAAACTGCTGAGATATAGAAATTAATAAACAATCAGAGAGGAGAATATTGGTTGGAGTAGTTTGATTATGAGAAATACGAAGTCAGTCTACGTCGGGCGTAGAGCAAAAAAGGTTCCCTGTGCCCATTGAAGTAAGTACCAATATAATTATTTCATTCAATAAATACATTTCTTCCATTTTTTTAATACTCTTTTTATTTCTTTATGTTCCACAATATAACAAAACCCCTCTCAAAGCCGAGTGAGTAAGTAAATCAAGTCTATGGAGTATGTACCCTCAAGGGGTATGCATATTTTGAAAAGGTCGTTATAAATAGAGTCACTGGATGGTATTAGTTTGATAAGAGTTCGGACACAGAAATGACAACGGTTAGGGTTTTTCAATGTTTAGATTTATAAAGTTACACACCTTGCATCGTGACAAGAGCACCATAGTCGTCCCGCGCTCTTTCATTAAAAAATTTTTGAATTTGACAATTCATTTTATAAACGTCAGATTTGAAATGAAATTTCATAATTATTATACTTTCGAGATAAAAGCAGCTATGGAAATCACTTGCTGTGTAATAAATTGTACCAATTTTGAAACAAATGGATATCATTTATTCGATTATCCAGATCGAATATCAAGCATTCGCTTATGGAAGGAAGATAATTATGAAACGGCCTGCGTGGAAAATCAATTTGAAGACGAGCGAAATTTGTGAGGTACTCATTGAAATTCACTTCTTATAACAGCATCTGATTAGAATGAATCTATATTTTATGCCTATTTCTAAACAGAAGATTTCAAAATCTGTTTGAGAGATTCTGCTGTTTCATCAATTTACAAAGCAGACGATTTCAAGAACAAAATTCCATTATTATCATCACACAAAACATGAAACAAAATAATCATGGAAAAAGGGGAATGATCGCAAAATTACATTATGAAATTGGAAATTTGAAAACGAAACTAAGAAAAGCAAGTAAACTACAACGTGATATATCATTGAATGGCGTTTTTGGTGTTGACCGAATTCAAAATTCAACAGTGAAAAGTGAATAGATATTCATCTATCAAGGGAATTATTATGAGGGCCTTAATTACGCTGGGGGTTATCGTTTTGGAGATATTTTCTATATCGATCCGTGTTACTTAGCTCCTAGGGCGCTGAGTGAAGTTGCTGAGAACTTTACAAAACCAAGTATTTGGTAGGTCTCGTCAAAATAAATTACTTTTTTCCTATGAAATGAAGCATTTTCTCCGAAATGAAGCATTTCCGGACACAAGCTTTTATAGACTTTATTTCTCAAAATTGTCTCAGGAATACTTCACGGCAGTACAGTTTCACATACAATAAGGAATTATAGCTATGAGTTTATCCATATGTATATATTCTTTGATATTAAAACGTTGTTACATGCATTTTTTTCATTTATATAATAGTTGCTCTGCTAGAAGTTTATCACTATGAATTGAAGTGGGTGTTTGTACCCTATATCCATTGTCCATCTACGGCTATGATTGATTTGACAGAAAATATAACCTCTAAAATCGTATCTGACAATAAGGCGCTACTAGGGAAATTGAAAAGACAAAGAGCAGAATATATGTCTTATTCTTTTATTCACTTAAACCATTGTATTATAGAAAATAGAAAAGGACAAGCTGTGTCCGAACTCTTATCAAACTAATACCATCCAGTGACTCTAGTTATAAACACCTACACGACAATATACATGTGGCAAAACACCTACAAGATAGTCTGCGCCCGGTATATGAGATTGATATCCACATTGACTCACGTCGAGTCATACGATTATGCAAGGGTACATTATCATCGGGGAAGGTGGATGGTTGTCGATTAGTCAGTCTTTGCGAATACGTGGTGTAGTAGTGTGGTATTTCTCAATATAGTATGTGCTTCAGTTATAACTGAGTTTGATTATCTTACGTCAGAAGAGGCGAAACGTCGTTGTTCGTCTAGTTCAGTAGCGAGTACTACGAGTTATCAGGGGAATACCGATACAGAGTCCTCAAATCGCATTTGTGATGGTCAGCATCCTAGTAAGATGAATTCGAGAAGTTCCTGCGGAAGAAGTGGTTCTGCTAATTTCAACTACAATGCAGCGGGGGTAAGCAACGAATGGCCGCATACTGTATCTAAACAATCTATGAGCATATCTGCAGTGATTCCCGAATTCAACCTTCAACCGATAATGTCAACAATAAGTGGCTTGAAATAGTGGAACACAATTCACATATTCATGGCGGGAATTCAGAACACACAATATACCAAGCAGTGGGTAAAATGAAAGGCACAGCTAAGATATGGTATGATAGTTTTGTAATAAATGAACTTGGTTGGTCTCAATACACGTGGGAACAATGGAAACAAAGGATTTCTGAAACATTTTATAGCAGACATGATATGCATTCCATATTCAGAGATTTAATGAATCTCAAACCCAACAACGGTACTTCCTTGTATAAGTTTTTATTTCTCTATATGTCTAAGATTAATAATTTAGGCCTAAATTTTTCTGAAGAAAATGACATTTTATTGAAATGTTAATGATCTGAGTACCTTTTTCAGGAATAAAAACCATTTACTAAAAGGGATAAAATTTTAGATTATTCGAAATTTGTATCATGAAATCATATAATTCAATTGGAGTTGAGCTGCAAGCAGGATATTATCGAAAAGATCGATTGCTAGTTGATCTGACAGCAAACTTGAATTCAATTAGATGATGCAAATCATATATTTTTGAAATCAGAGAAAATTACTTTTTTAGATTATGCAATTAAGTATAGCATAGTTTAGTTTATTTATTGGCAGAGTATTACACTAAAGTGCTTTTACAGGTCAGATATATGAAAAAGAGAGATAAAATTTTTTATAATTGATATAGAATAGTAAAAAAATTACAAATAGTAGGACAAAGCTCATTAGGTAAGATATTAATGGTAGCAATACATAGTAAGAAAAAAATCAAAATATAGAGTCGAATACATTTACATATTAAAATCACTTTCTAGATACTACTTGATGGAATAGAAGGCATTTTTTGAAAGATACGTTTTGACTTTGGATTTGAAATAGTTAAAATCTAGGTTTTTTTATCTTTATAGGAAGAGCATTATACATTTTTTTGCCCCTTCTTGTACGTTCTAACCTGTGGTAGCTCAGGACTAAATTATCTCTATTTCTAGTTGAATATGAGAGGATATCCCTATGTGATCTGAAGTTTAATGGTTTCAGTTTTATGTGGGTTAGGCAGTGAAATATAAAAGTACAAGGAAGTGTAAGGAGTCTTAGTTCTGCAAAACTATTTCTACAACAATCTCGATATTTTAAAACTGCGATAATTCTAACACAGCGTCTCTGTAATTTGAAGATTTGAACAGTGTTGGGGAAATGACCCTAGTTCAAAATTGCATAGGATAAATTGGAATTGAAATATCCATGGTAAGGCGACAGTAGGGTGTCCCTGGATACATTTTTTGAAAGGCTTCTTATTAGGAAAGATATTTTGGACAGTTTGAAGCTTAGATAATTGATATGAACGTATAGTGTATTCCATTTGAAAAATCAATCATTCTCACACTCCCGGTATATGGAATGATGATATACTGTTTGGAGGGCACTATTCGAAAGAGAAAAACATCTGATTCAATATTTTGTTCTGCAGTTTTCAATATCTTTATTAGTTTCCAAGATAGTGAGTGTTGAAAGCGTGAAATCCATAGTCAATCACCCGTAAGTGGAAGAGTTTTGTAAAACAAGAAGAAGAAACTCACAAGAAACATGTAGACTTTGTCATTCTCTCGTTGCGCGCGAGAATCGAGTACTTTTAATTTTGAAAATAGGAAATTGATTCGACCGTAAACTGTAGAGAGATGAGAAAGTTTAATAACAAGAACCGTACTCACTTCATGTCCGTTTTCCGCGTCTTTGGCTCTCTGCTGTTCCACCAAGGCCACCACTGCGCTGTAGACGTCTTGCGGTACTACCGACGGCGCCAAATTAACGCTGAACGCGCCGCCACTGTCCCTGCCCAAGGCCGCGTAGTGCTGCAGACCGTTGCAGCTGCCATCCTGGTACAGAACGATAGATACACTCACCGACAAGAAATAAACCGTTGAGCAATAATTTAGCCAAATGGAACGCCCTGTAACTTTTTTAATTCTTTCAGATTCTGGTGAAAGGGCACCACACGTTTTATAGGGAAAATTGGCCTCCTGTCGAATTTGCTGAATTTTTGATATATTATAGTCCAAGACATTCTGAACAAAATGTTCAAATACCAAACCGTTCTAATGGCTAGTTTTGGCGGTAGAGGCCGCTGAAGTCCCAATCTTGATTTCTTTTCTCCTGATGAATAATGCTCTTTGAGCCATTATTATATCATTTTTTGATAAGTAAGGATAAGTCACTACTAGAAGTATTCATCAATATTGTAGCTACTAGTCAACAATTATACAATGTGTTCCAGCTATTATTGTACAAGACAATAATGATATTCATTAATTTTATAGGAAAGGATATCGAGAAATGAGAAATCGAGAAATGTCCTATTTCAATCACAAAATACGTTTATTCGAATTCCATGTTCACCCTTTGTATAGCAAGAAGATACACGAAGATATCAACCCGTTCCATATAACTGCAGCTGAATGATATTCGAATCAAAAAAATATTTTAATATTCACTATTAATGTGATGATGTTTTTTCTAGTATTAATCTCCTATTTGTCAAGGTTTGCGAAGGAATGTCATTTTGCGGTTTCACTCTTAAAACAGTTCGTATACAGGATGTCCGGAAATTATGTACAAAAAAATCAAGGCGATTCTACATAATAAGATAAGAAATTCATCTTATATGTACGTGGGTCCGGAAATGCATATTTTTCAACATACAGTGTGTTAAAACTTTTAAAAAAGATCGTTTTTTTATGAATATCTCAAATATCCTTCCACCGATTTCTTTGAAATTTGGCAATGATAGTTTTTGTCATGAGGTGCTGATATACCTATTATTCAATTGGAATTATGAAATCCAGTGGCGTCCCGGGGGGCAACCTACCAAATATTATTGTCAATAAAATGTGCGTCACTAACTTTTTTCAATTCTATATCTCCATAATCTATTGACCAACTAAAAATACAACATTTATGTCTCCTGAATAATCTCGATAATAGGCTTTATTTCCATGGAAAAAAATAATTACCAATGTATTGCATAAATTTGTGCCAAAAAATTCCTTCAAAAACTGGGGTGAGAATAAATGCGTGATCAATGTCCATGGACATAGAATAAGTATGGGGATTCATTTTCTTCGAATATTTCTTGATACTTGTTTGAGATACTCTACACTCTGTATATTGAGAACTATGTATACTCGGTCCAGGAAGGCGTAGTTTTCGACGATACAAAGTTTGTGAAACATGTATTATAAAACTATTGAAGAAAATGAATCTTCATTCTCATTCTACGTCTATGGACATGGATCACACATTTAATTTCACCCCTGTTCTTGAAGCAATGTTTTGCACAAATTTATACAATGAATTGTTTGTTTCATAATTGAAATGCGACACGTGACAATATCCTTTTTTATTGAATTATTGGATAGTATCATATTTCACCTAGCCCATAATTGCTGGAACACACTGTATAATTCTTGAACAACAGCAACAATATTGAAGAAAACTTCTTGTAGTGACGCATCCTATCAAACAATAATATAATAATAGCTCCAATTGAAAAATTTATCAGGAGAAAAACAAACAACATTGAGACTTCAGCGGCCTCTAGCGCCAAAACTAGCCACTAGAAGAGTTTGGTATTCGGACATTTTGTTCAGAATGTCTTGGACTATAACATACAAAAAATTCAGCCAATTGGACAGGAGGTCAATTTTTCCTGTAATACGTGCGGTGTCCTTTTGACTAAATCGTATAGCGTTTTCCACTCGCCGATTTACATAGTGCACTAGCACAGAGCAAGCACAAATATCAAACCTATTCGAAAAAGGTGTTTGTTTTGATTCCTACCGAAAATATACTCTCAGTCTCTCTCTCTCTAACACATTCGTTTTTAGGAAATATGATATGATATGATTTTTCGAATAAGTGCGATACACCGTTGATTATAGGAGATCAAAAGCTCTCAAAATCCATAATGAAAAATCTAGGGTCGTATTTCAAAAAACAGGGTAGATGAAGGACTATGGCAGCTCAAAGACGAAACTTCGGTTTGAAAATTTAATTACACCATCTTGTAGAACAGAGCAAGTAACAATGAGAATGTGTAGTTTGTTTTGTTCCATCTATTATTTTCAAAAACCGTTGAGCAATACATTTCGCCATATTGAATGCCCTTCAACTTTTTCAATTCTTTCCAGATTCTGGTGAAATTTTCAATAAATCGTATAGCGTTTTCCACTCATCGATTTAGAGAGTGTAAGCAACAAACTAAACCTATTCGAAAAAGGTGTTTGATTTCTATCAAAAAAATACTCTCTGTCTGTCTGTCTGTCTCTCTCTCTAACACATTCGTTCTTAGGAAATATGATATGATAATATGATTTTTTGAATAAGTGCGATACACCGTTGATTATAGGAGAGCAAAAGCTCTCAAAACCCATAATGAAAAATCTAAGGCCGTATTTCAAAAAACAGGGTAGATGAAGAACTATAGCAGCTAAAAGACGAAACTTTGGTTTGAAAATCTGATAACATTATCTTGTAGAACAGAGCAAGTAACAATGAGAATATGTAATTTGTTTTGTTACATCTATTCTTTTCAAAAATCTTCGGAATCATTCAAATTTTTTCTAATTTGAAACAGGCATTTTGTTATGCATATTGCGGTTTACGAGATCCTTGTATTAAGGGTAGAATTCCAGCAACCCTGTATATACGTCCGGAAGTAGTGAGATGTACGTTTTCATGATACACAACTGTACACGAAAAATAATAGCCAGTATTTTTTCTCACAACTCTTCTTATTGTTTTTCCAGATGAACCAATGAAAAACATATACCTTTTTGGTACCTTTATTTTTGCCCTATCTTTTTTTTTTCGAGAAAATAATTATTAATTATATAAGGGGAAACACTTGAAATTTAATATTTTTCCCGCGTGTAATACATTATTTTTGTCTGTGACACCAAAAAGGCCGAATCAATATTGAGAAGATGTTAAATTATATTGAAATCAGAAAATTATCGACGTGAAATTTGAAGTTTTTAGCAGGAATTACACTTGCGTTGCAGGCATATCTTTCCTGAGAAGTAATCAAATATCTGTCAGTTTTATTCTTGTGATATCATTTCAATAAAATGCGAATTAAGTGGTTGTTTAGTAATTTATTACGTAACCTCGAAGTCGAATGGAAGATAAAAGGACTTACAGTTCTTTCTCGCAGACGGTGTTATTGGCTTATTTTTCGGAACTATAGCACAACAAAAGCCATCAACAGTGTTTACATGTGTGATATACAGGGTGTTTCTTAAGTACGTGTAGAAAATTCAGGAGCATGTTGCTGACGTCGAAATAAGAAGAAAAGTTCGTATAGACATATGTCCGAATGTTCTTCGTTTCTGAGATACAGAGTGTCAAAAGTTGAATTCTTATTTTTGTTTTTTGTCAATGAATTTCGAAATAATTGTAATATTCGATTGAAGTTTGGTATTAGGAGTATTTTTCAATGACACTATCAAATTTGATGTTGGTTTGTCTCTTTCGTGCGTACCTGTATCACGTTTCATCGTAGAAAACTAGATTTCTGGAATACTTTTGCGTGAAAAATATATTTCTGGTAGAGGTCACTGCGAGCAACTGTTTTCGAGTTATTGGGATTTGAAATAATCGATGCATTTGAATTATTTCCATGGGGCTCGGTAGTCGCCTCTAAGTAGTAAATATAATAAAAGATATGCCAGTGCATTATTTTCATTCATTCAATATTCTCCTACATTCAACATTGGAATTTCTGCAAAAGATGATTCTTATTTCATTGTACCTACTTTTCTGGACATACAGGGTGATTCACCATAAATGTCCCCCCCCCCTCTAGCTCACTCATTTTTGAACCGATTCAAGAATTTGCAGAATAATCTGAAATGATTTTCAGAAATTTTTTCCCCGTTGCATCAGAAAATACAGGGTGCTCGAAACAAACAATCTACAGAGTACTACTTGATTTTTTCAAATGGAACACCCTGTATTTCATTGTATTTTTAGATTCTTCCTGAAGAGCTGATTTCATCGGTATATCACACTTGGGGTCTAGCGGGAATGATTACAGAAATATAGGGTGTTCAAAATCGAGATCTTTCAACTTCAAGATTTTTTTGTGTCGAAACTATTCATCATTGGTCAAAACGGCTTTTATGTCCTCATCTCAACTTTTGATTTACTATCTACTGACATTTAATTGGAACATTTACAGGGTGGTTCAAGATTCAGGATTATGATCACCCTGTATCTATTCCAATCATTAAATGTCAGTAGATAGTAAATCAAAAGTTAAGATACGGACATGAAAGCCGTTTTGACCGATAATGAACAGTTTCGTCACAAAAAAATTCTAAAGTTGAAAAATCTCGTTTTTGAACACCCTATATCTCTGTAATCATTCTCGCTAGACCCCAAGTGTGATACATTGATCAAATCAGCTCTTCATGGAGAATCTAAAAATACAATGAAAAATAGGGTGTTCCATTAAAAAAAATCAAATAGTACCCTGAAGATCATTTGTTCCGAGCACCCTGTATTTTTTGATGTAGCGGAAAAAAACTTTATCGAAAATCATTTGAGATGATATTTCAAATTTTGAAATCTGTACAAAAATAACTGAGCTAGAGGGGGGGACATTTATGGTGAATCACCCTGTACAATTCATAAAAATTACAAGCAAATGAAAGATTCCCTAATCATCGACTGTCGAATCACCAGACATTCAGAAACCTTTTTCAGCGTCTTCTGGAGTCTGGATCTTTCAAAAAAGCTCCAGTGATAGAGGCAGATCGTTGATTACTATGACTCCAGAAATTGAAGAAGCTGGTCTTCAGGCAATCGAAGAAAATCC